AAATAATTTGTAAGGAGGTCATTAAAAAGGAATTTACCAATCACCTACATGCCTTACATACAAAGAGCACTACAAGAATTACCTATATACCTTTTAAACTAAGAAACATAGAGACATAAAACCAATACATTTTTTGTTGCTCTCGCCGAGGCGATGCGAAATAAGTATGTGATGACCTTCACAGGTCAATTTAAAATTTGACCTGAGGTCAAGGTCAGGTCATTCATCAATGAGGTTGTGGGGTATGGTCATGCTGCATACCAAACGACGCGCCTTGACCAGGCGAGTAGTTTGGTACCACTTACAAGTCTTTAGCACCATCATGTTGTGATTTATTGACAGAAAAACGATTCATTACGTCACATGACCTCAGATGACCTTTGCCGGTACCCCTGTCAATTAGCGGCACCAGGATCATCACCGATGAGATAATCTTCCATAATACTGAAAGAACTGGGTGGTTTTGACTCGTTTACACGAAGCAGGAGGCGTTTCAATATTTTCCCATAGGCTTGCAATGTAAAGGTCACGAGTCTGGCCTGACCTCAGGTCACAGATATGAAAATTCTGAGATATACAAATTGCACATACTGGTACCCTAACTAAAGCCTGAAGAGAAGAAATTGATCGGTCAAAAACTCTAGCTCTGGCGTGATTGCAAACTTTTCTGAGGTAGGGTCACCAAACCGCCTCTGGTGACCTGACCTGAGGTCAGATCAACTAAAAATTTTCAGAAATGTTGTGTAAAAGCCTTTTAGAAAAAGTCAGAAAATTTGAGCTTCCTAGCTCAAAGCGTTTGGGAAATATAACCAAAAAACCTCAGCGGGGGGGGCTCCTGAGGCCCCCCCCGCCAGGAATAGGGTTAAGGTGTTGACGGTTGACCTGGTGACCAGGGCCACGTCAGAGCCCCTCAGGCTACGAACTCGGTCGAAGAAGGTCATGTCGCATATCATTCGGTTCGGCAGGTCTTCCCAAATCCAGGGTGACTTGCGCGGCTCGGTAGGCCAATTCCATCGGGAGTTATTGACAAAAAAAAAAACTCATGCGACCTCAGTAACTTCATAAATTACGTCATGCAGGGTCTATTATGAAAAAGTGAAGCGTCGGACTATGCAAGGAGTGCATGAAATCACGATTCCGTGTACTTGAGATGGTTCTAGATCATTCAGATCGTTTTGCGCTAAGTTCCAACTCGATGAAGGACCGGACGGCGAGAAAAGGATAGTACGATTAGCTCAGTTTGCATCAGCCGCCCTGGAAACGCCAATACGGGTGAAACTTGTACGAAAAAGTACAAATTAATCGATGATAATGAATGTGATGTATTAGGTACGTGACGACAAGGGTGAGCACAAATGTACATAAACAATTAGCCGTTGAACAGCACCACGCTTTTCGCTGCTACCAAACGGATGTATTTTACAGCCAAAAATCATGTTCTTACTTTTCAACAGGGGTCTCTGGGTCGGGCGGCTCTTCACTTACGGAGGCTTCTTGGTCATTGGCCGTCCCCGCCTGAGGTTCAGCATCCTCCGCCGCCGCTGCTCCGTCCGCCCCGCCCGCCGTCTCATCCAAGAGCTCAGATTCCTGGTCATCCATGTCTTCTCCAGCCTTTTTCCAGAGCCAAAGCATGAGGAAGATGCCAGCGACAACAGCCAGTGCCATAACGATGCCCAGGCTTCCTCCAGAGTCAATGCCAGTCATGTGGCCAGTGCTGCCGGCACCCACCACGCCACCCGGCTTCTTTTCGTGAACACCAATTGGTCCGTAAATGTACGGGAACGACGTGGTTGTCTTTGAGTTATTTGCAAATGTTGCGACTGGCGCTGCTGTGGTGAAGTTCCCTCCATTGGCGGTTGTATTCGTCGTATTTGATGGTGGCATATCTATCTTCTGGAAGTGCTGAATCACATGATGGCTGCACGTATTTAGGTGAGCCAACAAAAAGAAATTCAGCTTACAGGCTATCTCGAATTAATGCCATTCTAAGCTGCGGTTTGAACTTGTTGAACAAATGATTTTCGCATTGAAATACGGCTTCACTACTACTTAAATAGCAATTAGATGCAATATCCGTTTGATTACCACCACAGAAAACAAATATAATATTATTAATACCTATATCACACTCTGTGCATTTTCTCTGGAATAGTAAGCGCAATGCTATAAACTTCGTGAATTTGAACAAGCGATACTTCTGATTCCAAAATTCTATTAATCATTGTTTTTCAACGGAAGCGATTTTTTTCTGATGAATGTTTGTTATTCGGCTTGCATTTAATTGTGTGCGTAATAATTTTGACTGGTAACTGCAATATTCACAGTTGATTTGCTTCTGAATGAATGAATATTTTTGTTACCTAGTGACACCATGACAATGGGCAATAGTAATCCACCGGCGTGTTTGAATCATTTTTCATTTTTCTTCCGAGCGGCGAATTATTTAACGATGTTTATTTGCGAGTTGGGGTGGGCCATGTAATAAAATGAATACTGTATGGGATAGGGGCAATACAAATGATTGCCCTTTGTGACGCCACTGTTGATGTGTTCGCCGATAGCCATCGGCTACGCCTCGGGCAATAAAACACGAATCACGATCTTTTTCGGTCTGGGCATGACCTTGATATGAGGTCAAATTTTTTAATTGATGTTTTCAGATCAACTTTAGTTTATTCAATGCGTCGTCTAAGCGACAGTAACACGATGCCGGTGAAATCAACGTGATACATGTTTGATGTCAAAGGATAAAAATCTTTTTTGCAAAACGTCCCATTTTAGGAGTTTTTGCCCTATAGATTCTAAACCGTTTGCCCTAGGTCAATTCTAAGAGCAAAGCTAGATCTATTCTAAGAAAATCTAAGAACAGAAAAACTTTGGAAGAGCTTTCGAATGCCCTATTCCGTGGCGTTCTAGCTCCATTCGTTCCCGAGTTATGCGCCGACTTGTGAAAAGTTGTCAAATTAGGAAAACTTTTCGAGATAATTCTACTTTTGGTTACCCCCAGTAACCTCAGCGAAGACCTGATAAAAACAACATATTGTAACTCTTAAAGGTCGTTTTTAGAGCCATGTATCGCTTTTTCTGCGTCTTTTTAGCTTTCTTAGTTACCGAGATAATCAGGTGTGACCAAATGACCCCCTTCACTGTGCGAAGATAGTTGATGCTCCCACCAGGGCGAGGTTGACGTTTTATTGTCAAAATCCGTTTCATTTCAGGATCTTTCCTTCACGAAGAGAAGAGGGGTCTCATCAGTTGCGACAAAAATACTTCTTTCTCAGCGCCAACTAAACCTAAATTCTCTCTGACGTTCTGAGAACGGTAAGCCCAAACAGCGGAACATTTATTCTGCCCTGTTACGTGGCAAACTGTGAGTGCATCGTTGCACCTAATGATAGGGCATCACAACTGTGTTAGGATAGCATAAACTTCCCATCCTTTCATGTCGGACTTTTCGCTGCCTATGTAACACGCGTCATCTCCGGTTTCTGGAGCCAATGACCGAGACTCCTCAGTCCACACCCGTGGTCTGCATAGCGGCACTTTCCACACACGCCGTGCCGTATCACCATTGCAAATCACGGCGCTGGCGTGCTGGCGTGGTGTCTGCGGCACCCGGCAGCGGGCGCGTCTAAACGTGGCCGCCGAGAGGAAATTCCCGCGGCCCAGTCTGGACCGGAACCGCGGGAATTCCCCGTCTGACGACTATGGGAAATACGAAATTCGGTTCGGGGGCCTACTATCACGCTATCTCTGACCTGCTAAGGCTCCATGAATAAGAATAAAGGGATTAGGTAAGAAGGAGCTGTAAATGGAGAGATAGAGGCTTGGAGAGACATAAAAAAGTGACAAAAGGGAAAGGAAGAGAGATGGAACATGAAAGAGAGATGGAGAGAGAGAGAGAGAGAGAGAGAGAGGGAGGGAGAGAGAGGGAGAGAAAAGAGAGAGAGAGAGAGAGAGAGAGAGAGAGAGAGAGAGAGAGAGAGAGAGAGAGAGAGAGAGAGAGAGAGAGCTGGGATAGGACAGAGTAACGTGCTCCATGTGGCACATTCTTGTTCAATGTTCAGTGACCATTCAGTCTTAGTTTGCTCATGAAAACAGCTAATTATTTTTCTATGAAGGATGAATGGTCCTGCAGCTCAAGCCTAGCGTTCAAAGCACAAAGTCGCTAAACGTTACAGCATTGCAATTGTACAGATACTCCTTTTTATTAGGATATGAGTAGATCGCAATTGCACAGATACTCCTGTACGATGAGTGAAGGGATGACTATTTCATATCGATATGTGTAATGAGCATTAGACTGTGAATAAGGGACTCTCAGGACAAAGTTTATGATTCTGTTGGGTTTCATCGCAGCCTGGGCTGTTAAATGCCATCATTGTTGGATTGTTAGTCACCATCGGAGTTCAGCTGGGTCTAAATCTGACAGATGTGCCGATCGAAAAGGGTGGGTGTTTTTCGGTGAGTCAGAGCGCCTTGACGAGGGGTCGCAGCAGCCATACTGCGGGGTCACGGGGAGGGTATGTGCCCTTGTATGGCGCGAGCACCGGCGCCCTTCCACTCAGCTCGACTGTAAAATTCATCCTCCACTGGTGAACAAAGTGCCGTGATCTGCACTCATCACCCCTAATGATGAAGTGACGCGCCCACGCGGTGCAGCCTGCAGATAAAGAACAGGATGTTAGGGCGGAGGCCGGTCGTCGCTCTGCCAGCCCTGAAGGCCCGGACCCTCTCCGGCGCCCTCTCCGGTGCCCTGTCCGCATTGGTTACCGGTCAGTGCACTGTAGTCGGTCCGGTAATCATCAGTGGTCACCACTCACTACTCTTGCCAATTTATCGCGTCGCTGTATCCCTGGAGTCTCCGGTGGTTCCTGGGTGACCGGGGCGCCCAGTAGCGGCCGCGCCCCTCGTTCCGTACGGCGCCGTGAGACTCAGACTCAGACCGCTGCCGCCTCCGGTGGGGCTATATCAGCTCCGGCAAGGTCGGCGCCGGCTCACTGGCGGGCGCGGGTTGACGCGTTACGGGTGTCCGGTCCGGCGGCGATCGGCGGCGCACAGTGCTGTCCATACACAGAGAGAACTGCTCAGAGAGACATGGCCGCGTACAGGGTGAGTGATGGAACCCCGCGGGGAGTGCGCAGGGGCGTGGGAACCGATATAGGACACGTTAGTATTGCCGCAAGTGTTGAAACTTGAATGACAGTCGACCGTGCACAATGGTAATTTTGTATGCACGTGCACGTGAGGTACTTTGTATGCGCCTACGAAGTGGTAATGACTGCATGAATTGTAGGTATGGGTAATGTGTGGTTAACAAATGACGTAGTTTTAGGGAACAATGGAGAGGTGTGAAACATTGATTTTGTTCCAAAGTAGACGCATCAAATATGCGTTGATTCAAAAGCTATGATGGAAGTGAAGGTCAGCTATGCAAATTTATATTTTGTTGCAAATTTGCTCACAATTTTAATTCGGATGCATTTTACAGAAGACAATAGCAAAATGAATGGTACTGAAAAGAGCTACCACCCACAATATTTTTCAACAATTATCAATTATAAATGCCATACTTCATCGAACATAAAAGAGATATAAAACATTTGAAAAAGAGAAAAGATTGATCGAACTTTTGATTTTATACATAGTCAGCTAATATGATGGATACATTGGTAAATCGATTTATATCTTATTTTCGGGTTACAAGAAAACAATGCGTGTTTTTGTTTGCAAACCAAGCTAAAGGCTGAATTGGGAGCAAATAAGAACCACCAGATAATCATTTGCTTAAACTATCAGTAAATCACTTCCTTTTGTGCTTTTCTAGCACACTAAAAAAGCTCGGTCCATGGCCGATTACCGATGACCGATTACGTCTGTATGTCCAGACAGCTAACCGTAACCCGAGTAACGGAAGTATTTACGCTGAGTCGCTGATCACTGAGATTCTGAGCCGCTGAGCCGCTGAGCCGCTGATCTTCTCAGTCACTGATTAGATTATTCCTAACATGTTCATTCGCTGAGCTGCGATGAGTCGCTAATACACCAACCCGATCATTAGGTGAAACAGTTCGCAGTCATAAACTAACGCGATCAGTTCAGATCAGACATACCGCAATGATACAGTATCACGATCATTTGTTGAGGCAGCTGGCAGTGATGAACCGACTTGATCATCTAGTGATCTAGCTAGCAGTGATGAATCACCCCACGGTCACCAGTAACGAGTCGGTATCGGTGCACCGGACCAGTCGCGAGCAGAAGCACTGACAGAGCCTGTCAGCCTGTCTATATAGCACTATAGCAGACTCTGTCAGTAGCAGAGCTGACAGAGCCCAGCAGGTTCTGTCAGTAGCAGAGCTGACAAAGCTCCTGTCCGCTGAGTTCGTCTGGTGTCATTGGCAATATTAGTACGTACACCGAATTTCAGTCAAACGGAAGGCATGGGTCGGGCGGTGACCCGCCATTTGCATACCTGAGCTAACGAAAATAAACAACAGTTTTTCTCACATTTTTGAAGATTTCGTAAAGGTGAACAATAAACACGTTTTAGTAATATGATACCCTTGAAATTTTTCACATAATCATGTGAGATGTAACCTTTCCTAAATCCTGTTATCTAGCATCATAAACTCTCAAGACTTACTCTATTCTGTTACATGTTGTTCGACCCTAATATCGCATCATCTGCTGTGTGTGGGGCGGATTGATGAAAGATGAAAGCATAGGCGGCGGTACGGGGAGGGCACCGGGGCACCGTGCCCCACTTTGATTTTGGCATTTTAACATTAGCCCTATGGACGTTGCATGGAAAGAATGGGACCAAAAGTCGTCAGTGCCCCCCCCCCCCCCCCGCTTAATTGAAGGTGTTCCGTTGCTACTGGATGAAAGCAATTGCGAATTTGTAAAGTGATAAGAAAACGCTAGGCTTAACTTCATATAGCAGCAGACGAAAAACAATGGTATCTATGCGTGGTTTAACGGCGACATTGACATAGCCAATTATTTTGTTTAGCAATGTGCAAGAAGGCCATAATCCCCGGAACCCTAATGCCGCTGTCGGTAATCCAGGCATGCCTAAAGCTGCGTATGCCTCAAATCTTTCCAACTAGCTATATGGCTTACGGTGGAATGCTGTGCTGAATGCTGTACGGCTGTTGCGTAAAACGTGCGCCTTTTAAATGTTTATCGATTCTTGCTACATATCGCAGAGACTGACCACGACTTGCCCCGAGTCTGCTTTCTGATTAGGAACGGCTGGCTACCCACAACTGGCCACAAATTATCCGGGTCAAGGACCTGTACTAAATGCCGCAACAACTTGAATTCATGCAGCTTACGTGAATTGCACATGTAGTAGTCACAATTTTTACCGCAACTTGACTGTCTCCTCAAATTATTCATCACTGACAATAATCGCTGACAATCATTTGCTGCAACAGGCAGATATCAACCACATTGCACAATGATTGGATGATGTTATTACGCGCGGCATCACGCAATGCCTGGACTCATTATTTTGCAGGCCCCTTATTTTCAGAAGCTCACTGAATTTCACCAGTCAATGAGGTAAACTATACTTGCATCCGATTTTGCCAGATTTATATATATAAGAACAACAATTATGGGGTGAACAGTTGGAATTGTTTTGGGGCCTATAAACATTGCACCGCGGTGTTGTTTCGATGCCAGGTGTCGTGCTGAGAAGAAGGTGTTATTGAAGAGCAGCTTACCATGTTACAAATCTTTTTAGAGCTGTCTCTATTCCTTTATATTTGATATTTACTGTGTGAGTAAACGGGGCCTACTCCGGAGATGCCCAAAAGACAGGCCTCAATCGAGATAATCAGAGATATACGGATGACAAAACACAAACAGCATTGGGTTATGCTGTATTCAGCACCGAATCTCGGGACGCCCGATTTGGATATACAGATTGTCGTTCACCGGTCCGTAGACCTCTCTCGGCCTTTCTGAGCGAGTGTCGCTGGGGATGGTGATTTGTCGGGCCCTCCCGGACTGTGGGAGCTGATCTATGGCTCTGTTGTAGAAAGACAGACGGCTGCCAGACTGCCACCTGCCCGGGGGGGCAGTGTCCATCACATGCGCTCCCTCCGCTGCCACTATCGATCGTCCTTCGCAGCCTCCAGCTACTCCTATCACCAGCAGGGATCGCTCTGCTGCATTTTACGGCGAGCTACCAGCCGAGGGAAGTCACTCGAAGGCCACCTGTAATCTATTGAAGGTCCATTATTATCAATTTGTTACCTTTCAATTTCAGTTTGACTAATGTGACGTTGCTGCGCCTGCTCGGTGCATGACATCAGCTGGCTGGACATGACTCTGCGGAGCGTTTTCACGTGGTGTTCTGCGGCTCTCTCCGTCACATCTGTCCTGGATGACGTGCGCTGTCATCTGAATGAATGGCTCGCGGGATGGCCGGGGCCCGTTCAGGCGGCGGTTCGGCACCGCTCGACTGTGGCGGCTGCCAGGTCCGCTGCACGTGCTGTGACCACGGGGCGACAAACCTGTTCTGAGGTGCCTCTGCCGGGGACACAGGGGTGGGGAGAAAGTGACGCCTCGCGGTGGAAGGCCGCCGCGGCCCGGTCCCCCCGGCTGGGCAGGCGGCGCGGCGGAACGCGGGGAGGCAAATCCGTCCGGACCATCCGGAGACACGCGCGCTCCCGGCATAAGTAGGCTTTTCTCGGCATTTCCTGCTCTGCAATATCGGCTATTTTTACTCGTCTATTTCAAGTCCGGCGTATGCTTGCATCAGGCTCAGATCCGTAAAGGCATCTCAACGGCACTCTGACAGCTCATCGCTCAGAAGAACAGTTTTCTAATTCACATTGTTGGTCAGTTTTAGGTCAGTCCCAAGCTCGTAACGGCACTTGTCCAAAGTTCAAGAAAAATGTGTCGTTTGTCTTTCAATTAATGCATGAGCGTAATCACCGTCATCACACCTTGTAACTGGCAAGATATTTTTTAGGCTGCCCAGCTAGTTCATTATATTTCATATTTTAATTTGTCGATCAAGCCTGTCTTGTGTTGACATCTGTACGGTTTAACCCACAGTCTGCGTTGTTATCCGTAAGTTCCCGTAGTACTCAATGCAATGAGGACGACAGAAAATCCAGGAAATTAGGTACTGGCCTCCGATTGAACTTGGGCCTAGAGAACCTCCGATGTCAGCCTTCCCACAATATTCCTGTGTAGTGTTTATAAACCTCGCCTGGCTGCTGAGCTGAGGGCTGGTATAGAGAAGCCTGCAACTTAGCCGTCCCCAAAGATGCGTGCCTAATTATCCGATCCAGGGTCACTCTAGTCACAGAGTCAATAATGCAGGTGTACATCTCCAATAAGTACCGCAATGGTAACGGGTCGACCATCACAAAAAGCAATCACTTCCTTCTGCGTTCCGCCCTTAGGTTCGATGCAGATCCAGTTTGGTGCCTTGTTACTCGGGGTAACGGTTGGGCGATTGTATACGTTGAATACCTGCTCACGGAAGCATGTCATCTGGCGTGCATGCAGTGGGTCTCTCCTTACCGGGCTGGTTTTGGCGTCCTTGACAAAATATCCCCAAGGCAAACACAAGGAAGACATCGCCGGTAGTGATTAGAGCCCGACTTGTTTGTCATCCGGGTCGCTCAATTAGTCTCATTTCGGAGCTTATATAGCTGTTAACTTTATGTGTGCTGAGCGTCAAACGTGAGAACCAAAGGTGGCTGAGGGTCGATATGACTAGCTTACTATATCAACACTAAGTAGATAATCAGTTTTTGTTAGTCAGCCCTGCATACCTATGGTGATTTTTTTCTTACCGGCTGCTCTGTATATTAAATCACCAAATAATTGCACATCAGCATCAAGACGAGTATAAATTATACGCACACTTCGAGCAAGTCATAAGTGCGGATAACATTAACATATCCAGCCGCTATGCACAGTCTCCTAAGGTCTGCACGTTCATACGTAGTCTGACACATAGTCTGACGCATAGTCTGAGCCCTGAGGGCAAATCAAAGGACACCTTTGCTAATTGCTACAAGGGCATATTGCTTGCAATGTGCCTGCTTTATCTAACCACTTGCTTGCACAGGAACACGTAGTTGTTAAAGACCGCTCATATTTGTTTCTCGATAAATAACCAAATATACCGATATTGCACTTCTGCGGATTAAACGTTTGAGTGAAAGCCGCCCTCATATTGCACTCTGCTCATAAATAATTTATGATTCTGCATCGGCCTTGCTAGCGTTCCTAGTCCATTAACAGATGCTGGTCCACCTAGCTTAAGCGCTCAGCGGCGCATATAGCTGACAGTCTATAGCGGCCCGTCACTCAGATGTCGACTGTGCTCAGCCGAGTGATGAGCAGAGGCTAGGCTTCATTGAACCCCGTGTCGATCAATGGCCGGCTGTTTGCGACTGGTGAGTTCGAGAGACACGGTTTTGTACTCGGCATGTTTGTGCGAGGGCAGGTCGGTAGGCTGCGCTCACTCATCAAAACTTCCCTTCTAAGTGGACGCATTACATATCGCAGCAGTCAAAGGAAGCTCGGCGTCGATTGAAGATCATCCCTGTAACCTTTTTTCTTTGCAAACATTGAGAGGCACAGCTGCAGTGGCATGCAACGAGTATATTTAATTGCAGCGTGTTATTCAAAACAAATCAGCAGCCCTTTGCGGAAGCCAGTCCAGTTTAAGCACCTCACCACGACTCCAATGTGAGAACACATATCTCAATCAATAACGGATTAACCGATGTAATAAGCGTCCAGTAGAATTCATCTGTGAGATAAACAGCCTTGAGCCCTTCTAAGCTGAAACACCTGCATATTTTTACGATCATAACTGACAAAATGAGTATCTACACTACACGCAATCATCTGATATTTCTCTATCTTCAAAGAGCAGTTGAAAATCATGAACCAATAGATGCATAAAAGCCTTATTTTTTGTAAGACCGATGCATTTTACATCACGTAGACACCGTAGATGATTATACCATAGACTTGGTCAAAACCGTTTGATAGCAGCTGATAAAGAGAGACGAGAGACGTTGTTAGTCGAAGATGAAAGAAATGGAGACTGGGAGCCCAGCTGATGAAGAAGAGAGACTGGAGAGATAAAGCTTCAGCCAACGATTGGGGTAGACGAGAGCTCCTGCCGACGAAGGAGGGAGACGGAGACTCCTAGTCCTGCCAATGAAGGAGGGAGAGATAAAGCTCCTGCCGATGCAGGTGGGAGACGGAGGCTCTCCCCGCTGCGCCGCCGGCTGCACCAGTTTACCTTGGAGCCGGACGCCGCCCGCGGCTCCGACCTTGCATGCCGACAACGGTTTCTTGCCATGAGGCGCGGGGGATGTCTGGTGTCGGATGGGGCGGCGGTGGCGCGCGCAGATCACACGCCGTTGTGGGCGTGTCGGCCCGCGGCCCAGGCGGGGTCGGACCAGTCCCGTCCGCGGTCCATTTATGGTCCGACGATGATCCGTCGGAGGTCTGTCTGAGCTCCCTCGTCTATCCACCTGTGTTCGTCCAGTCATCCTCCATGGTCTGTTCTGTCTGTCCTTGCTTTCTGTGAGGACCATTTATTGACCTGCCCAGGTCCATTTATATCGCCTGCCCTCAGAAGTGCATGTGTGTGTGTGGGGGGGATCAGATGGCGACCCGGGCCGACACCGGCAGACGCTGTCAGCGCCAGAGACAGCCGGTCGGCCGGAGACATGAGGCCGCGGAGACAGCGGAGCTATAAAAACGGCATCGAAGGACAGGCCCAACCACCGCCCGATCTTCAGACCACTGGAGCATTTCCATAATCTACCTTTTTTGCGATCACTGGAGGTTCATCGCCCTAAAAACCGATAAAAGTTATAAAAAGTTTTTCGATAAAAAATAAACCCATAAAAGCATGCGTAAGATGAGCAGTTGAGCTCTTGTATTAGGAGTAAGATACGTGTTGACCTTATTGACGGGATTGTGTACTATAAAACAAAACGTCGGCCTGCTGCTGGTCACAGTTATCTTTCCATGCATACCCCATACCTGCATCCGTTCCCACAGGTGATTTTCGTATATCTTGTCATGCGTGCAGCCGCGCCTTGCGTAACTTTTCAGCAGGCTGCAGAGCCTCAGGAAGTGGACCCGCTCGGCAGCAGCGTAGTAATAGTGGCCGTGAGAAGAGGACATCCACCCCGCGCTGGTCCGGAACTGTCGCCCGTCCGCCCTGGCTGACACTCGCGCTCGGCTTAGGTACCCACGTAACACGGGGTTATACCTGCCCGGAGTCACGCCCGGTATTTCTGGTCGACTACTAGATGGGACCGCCCAGGCCCCGGCTGACTGGCGACACTGCGCACCATCCTCCGGCCGGGAGCACTCGGGGTGGCCAGGACCGGTGACCGCCGCCGCCACCTCCCGCGGCCATCAAGGCCACCGGCGGCGGCGGCGGCGGCGGCGGCGGCGGCGTCATCTTGTCAGGGGCCGCGCGCGTCTGCCAGCTCCGTTCTGACACCCCGCGCCCAGCCGGCCGGTCGTCAGGCGCGGGTCTAACTGAGGCCTCCTGCACTGGCCAGACGGCCGCGCCCGCTCATCAAGGTCACCAGCAAGGTCACGGTCAGTGAACCGCTCTCAGAGAGAAGAAGAAGTCCGGGCCTCAGGGGGAGAGGACATGGAATCGGCGGAGACACATTGGACATGTCCGTGTGATTCACGCCGCCAAAGTGATAAAGACGGCGAGGGAAAGAGAGAGAGAGAGAGAGAGAGAGAGAGAGAGAGGAGAGAGAGAGAGAGAGAGAGAGAGAGAGAGAGAAAGAAAGAAAGAAAGAAAGAAAGAGAGAGAGAGAGAGAGAGGGGGAGAGAGGCGAGAGAGAGGGAGAGGAATGGAAAGGTTAAAAACAAGAGGAACAGAGGAAAAATGCGATGGTGACCTCATCAGGCCCGTTTCTGTAAAGTTAGAGCAGGCAGTTACGTGCTAAAGTCACGCTGTCACTAGCGTGGGCAGAAGACTGGCCTTTTGTGGTTCGAACATCGGCGGACGTGGGAGGAAGAGGGCGAAAATGAAGATAACCGGCCGAAGGGATGGGCGTAGAACACCCATCTTCGCTTGTATTTACCATCGGAAGATAGGTGCTCGTGTCAGATTGATCGCGGGATATCCCAAAAAAGTGGGATGGGAGAAATAATGTGAAAGGATGCCTGCTTCCTCTGCTCAAAACCCATATGACTCAGCAGTGCAAGCACCTGATAAAATCGGGAAAATAAATAAAATGCCACCAGTGCCGACAGGTTTCAGGTCCAGTTGGTAAGAAGAAATAGGTATGTTTATTTTTTTGGCAGAGTACCGCGTGAAAATGAGGCTAAATATCTACTGACGGGATCAGGGTATGGGGCGGAGAACTGAGGTACACTCAGTCTCACCAGTTCCGTCATCAGTGCCCTATTTGATTGCTGCAAGTGTGAATGTAGGACATACTGGCTAATCCATAATGCCTCACTTTTGACCCGGTTATTAGTTGTTTAATCTAGTGACGCAGAGGGCCATGACTTACCACCACGTTGTCAGTTCCTCAACGTTAGCGAAAATAGGCAGTCTGTGCTCATCGATCACGAGTCCAGCCGAGGGCAGTCATTATGAGTGACGTCACACAGTGAGTAAGCTCCTCTCGGACCGGAGATGACCCAGACAAGTACGCTCCCAGGCGGCCCACTCGGAAGGTCCCGCCCCACGGCGCGAAGTAACTGCTTCCTCATGCATTCAGCCATGCCGGACCTGGCATTTTGCAAATTACCGGCGGTAGAGACGGAGTGACGTCATCAAATTACCATCAGTGTATAACTGTAGGCACGCGTCGTCTCAGATCTACATCAATTGTCAGTGTCTGTGTGTTTCCTCAACCCGGACAGCCATATATTCAACCCATCTTCGGGGCAGCGGCCTGCAATGTAGGCAGTTCAGTGAACCAGTCACGTATACGCGACCCAGACATTGATCCTAGTATATAATTGATTTTCGGAGAGAAATACCAGGAACCCGGCGATGAAAACGTGATCGATATCGAAAGAGTTATGGAAAAATCAGCGGCAGTACTGGTTGATATATCACTAAGCTCTATTTTTAGGCAGTAAACTGACCAGTTCCGTCATCAGATCGATCATCAAGTTCAGTCACTCGTGATGCCCTCCTTGTCCGTTGTACAATTACATACGTCAGTTACGAGTGGTTAATCTGTGCAGATGTTATCCTTCTTAATTAATTGGCGACCAACTGAGCCTGTGACATCATGATCTATTACACGAAAAGAAATTGATATGATGATCTTATTGACACCTTGTACCTACAGTAAAATACTAAACGCACAGTGATATACTAATTACAAGGTAGTTTGATGGTCAGGACTTCAGTGCATGATGACTACATTTTCCCGCTATAACTTGATAGCAGAATAGTGCCCCTCAGAACTTGTCGGCTTTCAAAGAACTTACTCGTCCTTTCCAATTTATTGTATATCTTCACATCCTGCTGTTCATCGACCAGTAACCCCTCCCCCTCAGATGCCGCTCAGTCTGCTGCAGGTCAGGCTGGGTCTATCGGCCTGACCAGCGTCCCCCAAATGCAGCGCGGGATCTGTTGGGTCTGTCGGTCTGACCAGCCCGCCCTCTCCTCCTTTCATATGTCACGAGGCCTTTCGTCTGTCAATCTGACCAGTGCTCCTCCCTCCCTCAATTGCCACGGTCTGTCGGTCTGACCATCCCTCCCCTCCTCCCTCAGATGCCGCTGAGTCTGCTGAGCCTGACCTGTCTGCTGACGGCGGCGGCGGCGCGGCCCCAGTTCAGCCCCGCCTCCAGCTACAGCTACCGGTTCGCCGGTCCCGAGCAGACCAAGGAGGAGTCGCGCGACGCGCTGGGCAACATCCAGGGCTCGTACAGCGTCACCTACCCGGACGGCGGTGGCACGTTGACCTACAGCTACTCGCACCGCGCCGCGCCGCCCGCCTTCCGCACCCTGTCCGACGGACCGCTCGGCCCGGCCGGCACCGTCGTCGCCATCGGCAAGGTGCGTGTATAGGTACTGGGTTGGGGCGCTGTTAACTCACTGACACAATTATACCGTCACATAGTTCTCTGTCAGATATTCACATTGTTGCACTGTCATACATCCGTTTTATAGGCACTGCTTCATTATCAACAGCCAACAGTCAACACACTGGCATGACCATTGAGTCATGTGAGACCAGTGATAATTCTGGCCACCCTACCGCTCCAAAGTTCATTGACACCGCCACAATCTAAACAAAATGTGCCTTTGTTCGGGTTCTTTGCCCTGTTTTCCGGTTGGGAACAGCCGGAACAGGTATTATGTAACAGAAGCTAATTGGTATCCATCCCAACTTAGGGGATGTCTACTTCGAAGTTTCATTTCATATCACCTCAGATTACGCCACATTCCCGAGCCTGTGATTCCGCAAGCTAGATTCGTAGATGATATAGACTGAGTCAGGCGTGAACGTTAAAGACGTCCATGTGGGAAGTGATGTAGGTGATTGAATTAGGCTCGTAGAGCGAATGAAGTCATCATTAAAATGGGGTTTCGGTAATTGATACAAAACCTCTTGACACTTCAATGCGTAGTTATAGTTATGATCTTGAAACGATACACATTTAATTGGATGTATATTCACATAAGTGTAGGAACCATGGGTGCAAGGGTGCAGCTGCACCCACAATATTTCTCCAGTGGGTGCAGACAATGTATTCTGCACCCACAATAATCTGAACCAAAAACCCCTTTTCTCATCAACACTAGGGGAAGTTGGGGCAATGCCGGAGTTGGGGCAAAGCCGAAATTCGAGATATTTCTAAAACCGTACGACATGGATGCCACGTCTCAGTGATGCTCTGAAGCTTAAGTGACTACAATTATCGCATGTTTGTTACGAGTCGTCATTTGGAATACTTCGGCTGTGAGGGCGCCAAAAGCGTTTTCAAGGTACGTTTCCCTTGTGCTACATGCGCCTTTGAAGCTGCATTTCTTACTCATTATGCTACCGTTTGTCTGGCCAATTCGGTCAAGTAATCTTCAGCATGTCTTTGCATAAGTGTGCTGCCTATTTGAAATTTATACAGCACGTTTAAAAGCTATGGGCCTGCAAATGAAAGTATGGCTGGCTGGGGTAATGCCGAAAACGTGCAATTACGCACGTTAAAGCACGCTACGTGGACTTCACTGCTGTAGAATAGCAACGCGTATTTTTAGTCAAACAAATTACACTTTCAGCCGGCACAACGGCCTGTTACCTATAAGGAATGATTTACCTGGCATTTTCTTATTATATCACACAATTATAACTTCCAGTGTGCACCAAGCGTCCTCAAGCTCTTAAAACGCGTGTCAGCTTTGATGAATTTTGGATAAAGTTTGAGATAAATTGGCAAAACATCAATGTCGGCATTCCTCGTAGATCATTTAACCCATTTTCGGCTTTCCCCGCAGTCCGGGGCAACGCCGAAAAAGTCAGTTCTTTGATATTTTTAGTTTTTGCGCTTAACGGTATGCGAATTCATCAAATGCGCCTGGTATGTTTGAAAGACAAAAGACTGGCCTCTCGAATGACGCCAACAAGAATAGCTTATGTTGTCTACTTTGCGTGCTACGGGCGTCAGAAAAAAAGTATTCGGCGTTCCCCCAACTTCCCCTACTTCCCATGCAGCACGGCAAATTCAGGATATGTTGCCCACTATCCATCTTTCGAAGCATTTGCTTTTGTGATGGTCTTCAAAACTTACATTTGTGCTGAAGAAAAAAAGGAAATGGAGCATGTGATTGAACACATACCGAGCCGATGACCCACTGTCAAAATTTTTAGCTCGATATCTTCGAAAATGGCCAGGTTGGCCGCTTTTACTTTTTGCGATAGTCAATATTGACAATATTAACCCTCGCATGTGTGCGGCGTTTTCCAGCTTCTAATGTGTAGGGGGGGGGGCTGATCGAGCTATAGCTCGATAGTAGCTCCGCGAAGCTCTATAGAGCTTCGCGGAAAAAAACGAGGGCGTTGCCCGTGACGAGAGGAAGCCGATGATACCCAATTTTAAGGTCCTAGGTCATTGGTTGACCTTCCAGGTCAGGTCAATGTTCCAAAAGTCGTGAAAATCGGGACCTACTAGAACTGCGTAAAGTGAAGCTGTTATCCGTTTTTTCGGGGTGCTGACCACGAATATCATGTAATAGTCCGAGGTCATCAAAGGTCAATGACCTGACCTGACCTTCAGGTGACCATCACACCCACCGTGATGCATGGGACGAACATTATTTCACATGTTTGGACGTCTACAATCACAAAAAGACTGGAAACGCACGGATTATAATGTGAGTTAACATACGCCAAATCGCGATTCCGGCCGAACATGGTCTCGAGAATCAGGTCACAGGTCAAAGGTCTTTTGGGTCAGGGTCATGAAATTTTCAGAGTAGGTGTAAAACTGATCAACTCGAGGGTACTTAAAGTTTCGTCGCGATCGGCCGCTTTTTGCGCGAGTTATTTGCGAAAAACTATGGGGGGCTCATCCGACCCCCTACACATGCGAATTAATTCCAAATGCACTTATCAGTCGGTACCTTTTCGACATGGTATACACCCCCCTCAAAGCTTGTAACGAGTCTTCGCTCGGGTGTCGCTCCCAACCCCCCCCCCCCCCCCACCGCTTCACCGGCCATGGCTGGATGTCTGCACCCATGCACCCACAATGTTCCAGCCGTTCCTACGCCCATGTATATTCACACATAAATACTACAAAACTAACGAAACCGATGATTTTAGTGTTGATTTTTGAAGCATTATGCTCAGTGTTATTCAACGTAGATTCTACATATAAAGTAGAATGTAGTCTATGGTTATTTCATAGCCACATTCACCGTTTCTCAGATAGTTGCCGCTGTATTCACAACCCTCCCCGCCCGCTGCTCCGCAGAACTCGAAGGATAACGCCTTCCTGATCGAGATGCTGCAGAACCGTATCGAGTCGCGTGACCCACCCAAGGTCACTGAGACGGACGCCGTCATCATCGAGGCCCTGCCGCTGGAGCCGGAGCGTCCGGTGACGTCTGTGCGGTTCCAGGCGGCGCCGCGGCCCGGTCCAAACACTGCCAGCAGCGGCGACGACGGCCGCCCCAACGAGATCCGCACCGGGGGTCGGCCGCTGACCCGCGGCAGCGCCGGCTTCACCAACAGCAAGGAGTCGGCGTTCCTCGGCGAGATCCGCGAGGAGAGCCTGGCCAACGAGGTGCTGGGCGGCAGGAACCCGCCGCTGGTCACCGATGAGGCCGTCATAGTGGAGGCGCTGCCCCAGGACGCCGAGCGCGGCATCTAGACAACCCGCGGTCCATCGAGGGTCATTGAGGTGTGAGATGGGCCTCCGTGGGCCTTCGTGGGCCTCTGTGGGGGTCTTTGAGCCTCCATTCCCAGTGTAGGTCTCCGTGGGCCTCCGTGGGCCAGCGGGGACGGACTAGTCGAGCGGATGTAAGCCGAGCCAGTTACCAGGCCCGCGAGGGCCTATTATATCGAGTGGAACGCGGTGTACTTACGTCTCTAAGGTGGGCATGACCCGGGGAGCGTTGCTGAACGATATACGCGACCGAAACGAACGATTCACTTACCCTACGGTCAGAGCAAGCGTAGTGGGAAGCCATCTGCTAAAGAAAATGACGCGCGATGGCACATGACATTAGTTTCGAGGGTTGGTATGCGATCTAGAACATGAAGTGAAAGTGTGTGAATGATTTGTGGAGAAATGAACTTGATTGAGGCTTACTATATATAAGACGTCGCATGTTACCAATAAATTGTTTTACAACTGCATTCAACTAATAACAATAATGTTTTTTTTTTTGGCATAACATAGATAATTGATGCCTTCTGCTTTTACCAGTAATTCACTGCAAATCCATCGTCCCGATATTGAAAGAAATTGTGAATATGTTTCACTTTGCTTATCGTCACATTGCGCCATCCCTTGGCTATCAGTTCATCGCTTTACTAAGTTGCCAAGTCCAGTGAGTTACCCATCCACACTGAGTTACCAACAATCACTCGAACAAAGTGGACTGTTAGGCAGGACATCGCCAGTTGTGAGGCCATCCTCAAGGGCATAGCTTGTAGGTACAGTCCACAGCAGAAGTAATGTGTGGTTTCAGTCATGGGTATGTTCTGCTTCTGAAGCCTAGGAACGATTAGCCAGACTGCAACGAGACTTTAAATGTAGCTTACATGTATCTTCACCCTTGCAGCTACAACCTTATCCATTGACGTCTTCTTTTCAATCAGTCCGCATTTAAAAATCGTCGGTCAAAGCCATCCGTTGAGATTGGTAAAACCACACATTACTTTAGCGGTGGGCTGTACATCACCTTATTATGCGCTAATTAAGGTTTTAAATGAATGCATCTTGGTTGAATCACAATGATGTTTATAGTTAATAAGTAAAGTTAGGTCTTCATCTATTTCAACGATAGGAGCCAAGCGTTTCACAAAGACAATTTGATATTATTCATTCATTTCATTTCAACTAATACCATTATACCGGGTGGCCCAAAAAAAACGTTCCGAACTTTGGAGGCCTATTTCTCAAATTTGAGTGCAAATAACGAGCCAAAATTCTCATCAATTTTGCGTCACTTCTTTGCGCCTTGGTATGCCAAGTTATAACACTCTATCATCATTTTCAAGCTAGCAATCTTATGTTGAATTAAGTAAGACGTTTTTGCTTTTTTTGCCGATGTTGGACGGTAGTGATGATTGGCTTTGACGTACCATGTTAGGAAAAAATTGAAAAATGGAACACGTGAATGAAACCAGCACGTGTGTTATTATTTTAAATATTTTTGTTCCACTTATGTGCCGAATATTCAAATACTGAGCCAAAATGGTGTTAATGGATGCCATTCGTTTCAACACTGAGTCCTGTTTCGAGCAGAAGGAGTGGCGCAGTGCATGGGTTACTGCTGATTGCCCTCCCTTCAAGAAGATCAAACAGTAAATCGACCGAATAAGGGCTAGAGGGAATGTGCCACCCTAAGGCCTGAACCATCAGTGAGGCTAGCCAGTAGCAGTCATGGCTGCAGGCCGTGATACCGAGATGGAAGTGGCCCGTTCACTCACATTTTTTTTAGTAAGCATCTGAGCAAAAAAGTAATTTTTACATGGCATGTTAGAAACACGAACCGTTTAAAAAGTAGTTGCCCGAATAACATAAAAATAATACAATTTACTGAAAATATATGCCGCATTGACCATTAAAAGTTTCAATGTTGTGTCTTTATCACTTTCTGAGAAATGTTGATTTAAAGTTGGGAACGTTTTTTCTGGGCCACCCGGTATGAGTACTGCTCTTCAGATTTGATGCAATTTTCGTTTAACCACCGACCTATCTTTCATCGTTATGCGATGTATCATCTGTTCTCGTGTTTCGAATTTTGGGCATGTCGTGTTAGTGCCTGAGAAATATACGTATGTCGCATGTAAACGCTGGAAATACGTTCATGCTTTAGGGATATGACTGTCACTGTAGTAGTTGCTGCAATAAAAGGAAATCGTAACAACGCTGAATTGCTGAGATGCGACATTAAAAAATATGTGCGTCATTCTGACCCCACGATTAGCTCTGAAGAATTGCTTCCACGTGCACAGTGTGTGCAAAAAAAAAATAAGTGTCACACAACTTGTAACGTTCCATTTGGTTCGAATGGTTCGCTTTAGCCCTTGAAGATCCATGGTTCGGAGAAGAGGCGAGCTGAACGAATGAAAAGGGCATGTCTCTGTAGATAGCATGCCAAGCTTATCATGTGAAATGCGGGGCATTGTGAGTGCAGTGAGTCCATCATCCGATTTGGAATTAGTTTCGGTGCCTTTTTGGTGAAGAAATATATCCTGCGCACTGACGGGGGTCGGTTATCCGCCCCCCCCCCCCCTGAGGTTTTTCGTGAATATTGGGAAAACTAAGGCGCGCAGCGCGACGAAATTTGGCATGACCATTTTCTCATCAATTTTACACATGGTCTGCAAGTTTGAACCTCCTGACTTTTAACCCTCGCCGGCCGAGGGGGGAGGGGGCGGGTGCCGCCCCCCATAGGGTTTTTTTTCGCGATAGCTCCGAACACGCTGGCGGTAGAGAGCTGAACCTTGGCATACCTGACCTTTGACACAAGCCGGATCTTTTGACACCAAACGCATTTTTAGGTCAGGTCAGGTCACTGACCTATGACGTCATAAGTGAATCTCTGCACGGTCTTCAGATGTCGCAACTTCGCAACGCCCTCACTGCCAGAGGAGATGTCCGAGGGAAATGAAACTTGCAGGATCTAGTATCCATTATGAGTCCCACAACTTGTATATCTCGGATTTTTCAGGTCATTTTCGTGACCTCACCATTATAAGTCAATGGGGAAAAATGAAAACTGCTATTTTGGCGACGGGAACGATCTCCAACTATCTCAAGCACACAGAATCGTGATTTGATGCACTCCTTGCAAGGTTGGATGCGTCACTTTTGCAATGTTGACCTTGCGTGACGTCATTTATGACGTCATCAAGGTCATATTAGTTTTTCGTCAATAACTCTTGATCACATTGAGCTAGCGAGTCGGGAAAGCCACAGATGGACTCAGGAAGGCCTGCCGAATCGAATGATATGCGACATGACCTCTTTTGACCAGCTTCGTGACCTGGGGGTGCTGACCTGACCTTGACCTGAGGTCAACACCCCAAGTTGACCTGACCCGGACAAAAAGTATATCATTCGACGCGCCTGAGCGAGGCAAACACGATGCTGCCAAAATCGGCGCTCTGCGGCCGTTTTTTGCGAAGTTATTCACCAAAAACTGAACCGTACCTGGGGGCACTTGACCTGACCTCAGAGGTCACCGGTTGACCTAGGACCTTAAAATCGGGTACCAATCTCTGCGTCTCGTAACGGCGCACACGCTCGTTTTTCCGCGACGCGCTAGCTCCACCAGGGGCGGAACGGCGAGGGGGGTCGTACCCGTCCCCCCCCCCCCCCTCGGCCGGCGCGTATGTAGAAAACCAATAGGTCCGACGAGGGTTAAGGTCAGGTCACCAGGTCACTTTGAATGACCCAACCTCAAGTCACTTTTTTGCAGCTTTGCCACAGTGTCAGAGCTACAATAGATGACAAAGGCCTTTGAAAGTCGCAGGATGTTATAAAGTCATTGGTAGCTACAATTTGTGTATCTCGGAATATCGATATCGATGACCTAAGGTCAGGTCAATTTCTCGGCCCCTCCATTATATGTCAATGGGGGAAAAATTAACTCCCTGTTTTTTTTTCCACTAGAACGCGTCAAAATGGCCCCATTTACCATGCATGACTTCATATACGATCAACCTTCACTACCTTGAGACCTGTTTTGCTGTTGGCCACCTGTAAGGTCATGTGACGTCATCAAAGGTCACCAATTTTTTTGCCAATAACTCTCTACTGGAACAAGATACAGCTGCACGGATAGTCTCATTGTTTTCAGCTCGTCAAGGCGCATCGCATGGTATACATGATGACCTCGAGGTCACGTGACCAGAGGTCAATCTTTGACCTTGACTTTTCGAGGTTAACATACCTATATATGATTCAATGAGGATTGACGAGAGGATGACAATGATGCCCTTAGTTTGTTCCTAGCTTGACTAATTCGAAAGTCATTTGACAAAAACTATCCATATCTAGCGCCGCCATTTTTACTTTTTTGACCCCTGTGACTATCATCTTTGACCTGACCTGAAAATGACCTTTGTAAAAATTGTAGACCTTGTCCGTGCGTACCCCATGCCATTTACCACTTGTCGCTACCTTGCTTCGTTCTCGAGATCTCAGGGGGGGGGGGGCGGTCATCCGCCCCCCCCCCGTCAGTTGTAAGTTGGCGTAGACCCCCGTCGGAGCGCGGGATATGTTTCCGTATTATTGTTATGCAATTGTATCAAACGAGAAAGGAACTAAATTGTTAAAAACGTCATTCCGAAAGACATCGACTACGATTGAATGACAGGTATGCCGTAAACACTGAATATTCGAGACAATTACGAGGGAAAATGACTCACTTTATCATTCAAAGTAATATCTCATCGGCATAGGTACTTTCGACTCTCCTTTCTTGAAACAGAAATTCTGCAGCACATATATGATTTCAATAAAAATAATTTACCATTTGAGGTAGTTTCGAGCAATGGCAAACTCACAAAGGTGAGCTTGTACGCTTTGGAATATGACAGTTCCATGATTCAACCATAAACGTCATAAGGCGTTAAAACCTAGAATGGTTGCATTACTTAGATATTGAATCCTATATGAGAAAGATATGCATTTTGGAGTGTTTACTAACCCGTCGGAGACCAACACAATGATAAAATAATGAGCATCGAGTGCCTACCAACGTATCCTGTCTCTCCTCGATCGATGCATGATCAATTAGCCGTCGTAAGTAGCGGCCAATGGGGTTAATCTCTTCTCAGTCTCAGTGCAATATGACACTGACTATAGCGCAACAATGATGGATCGAATACTTTACATATGTGACTGGTGTTTTAGCATGCAAACACCCACCGTGGGATTAGTGAGTATGGAACTCCAATCACCAGCTAATGCTAGCCAACACTCCAATAATCCCACGACCGGCCTGCAGGCCAGCCCATTACCTCGGCTATCAAAACTGAGGTACCGATACCTGCCTATAGCGGCCGGTCAGACACCACCAGTTGGCGGTCCGGTGCCGCCAGGGTCCGGTTCGGCAGCCGGCCGCGGCAGTGTGAAGGTGAACAGGCTGGAGAGATGGCAGTGGAGGGCTGCCCCCGGACTGCAGACACCGCGCTCTGCACCGACTCAGCGCGATCGGTACTGCTCTCCGTGCGGAGCTAGACCCTCGGCGACAGCCCCGACGATCATTCGTAAACTAGAAACAATTATAGACCAAACTTATCTGGAATGGATCAGGAAGACGGTCGTAGCTCGTGACATGTGCCAAGTCAGGAGCGTAAAATGTTCCGCTTGTAATAACCCTTGACCTACTGAGCAGAAGCTTGGCTTATGTTACTGAGCAGTGACCGTGCATTATATTTTCATGTCTGGCGGTTGTGGAATGCCTCTGCACGCTTCAAAGGCTCGGCCTCAGCAAACGCTTGATACCACAAACCTGAGTTTTAAATGCCACACAGAATTGCAACTGTAAACAAATTTATAAGTCAAGTTGATTTCAATGCAATGTATATAGGTAAACCCACATAGTCAAAGGCATCTAAGCTCATGCACCACTGATCTTAAATATCTTCCCAAAAACTGCCTGGAGATAATACGTTTGTGGCCACAAATACAGAGCATAACAGTTTACTTATGCGGTAAAAATAAAGTTGATATCCCCTCGAATTGCTGGCATTTGAGATGTTTTCGGATCATGTAGATAAGGCTGCTGACTGCTGAGCTCTTGGACTGATGAGCTTGTGACGGAAAAACTTACATATGTGCCACATGGCCGCACAGGAAAATAGGCTGAGCGGATTATTGAGCCAATCGGTGAACGGATCAACATCAGCGCTGATAAGCAGAGATACGAGTGAGAGAGAGAGAGAGAGAGAGAGAGAGAGAGAGAGAGAGAGAGAGAGAGACAGCGAGAGAGAGAGAGAGAGAGAGAGAGAGAGGGAGAGAGAGAGAGAGAGAGAGAGAGAGAGAGAGAGAGAGAGAGAGAGAGAGAGAGAGAGAGAGAGAGAGAGAGAGAGAGAGAGAGAGAGAGAGAGAGAGAGAGAGAGAGAGAGAGAGAGAGCGTAGGCTTCGCATGGTTAGCAGTTAGCACGATACGGACTCTCAGCATGGCTGAAACACACTCTTTCCGCAGCAGGAAATCGGACGCGAGAGCCAATTAGATACACTTAATCATGCTCACATCAATCGCTCGCACCGTCCGCACGAAAAAGACTGGGCTTTTGACAGTAATTACCGTATAGCTATCAAACTATGTTTTGCATCAAAATCGACCGAATGAGATCACCCTGACGTCATTTCCGGACGACCAATACCTACTTCGAAACTTTCCTTTGAAGACAAGATATCAAACTGATGCAGCCGAAGGTTCTGAAAGCTTTGTTCGTGTTGATGCATTGGTGGTTTATAAGAAATTGCAGAAACTCACCCAATTCAAACCCGGGTGAATGTACATATGGAGCTTTGGTGTTCTGTACCTGTGCTCTGTTGCAGTCTCCAGTGTCCAGGTATTGCCAGCGCGTTTACGTCATGTCAAACATTGATTCCTCGCTTACAATATCGGCTATCGCCATGTTTCACTGTGGTGTCCATAACAGTGAGGCTGCTGGATTTGACCAGACAGCCGAGCTCATTGCTGCGTTTACTGTATATACCAGCTCCATGACATGGAAAAAAGTCATGACGTATGACTGATGGTCTCTGCTCTTCCAGTCTCTACTATAATACAGAGGCTTGTTGCCTGGTGGATCGCTCGATCAGCTACAAAACTTGACTTCATATGAAATCTTCAATTGATATATTCATCAAATTGATACCGAAACTTGTAATTCATATTATAGA